CAAATAAACTTGAAATTACTATTAAAGAAGCAATTAATATTTTTAAAAAGATTCTTCTAAAGCATGTGTTTTTTGGTTGTGGACAAAATATTGTGCCTCAATTTTTTTTAACAGACGATTCAGCCACCAAAGAAATATATTAAGGTTTAATTGGCCCCAATCGAAACAATTTTTATGTACATTTCATATTCTCTAGGCTTTTAGAGATGGTTGTACAATTCTAAGCATGGTATTAATAAGGAGCATCGACCATTAATAATGAATATAATGAAGAAAGTTCTTTATACACAAACAGCAAATAAAATGGAATTTTATTATTAGCAACTTAAAGAGAGCTATTATCAGCTATACCCTTCGCTTAAAAGGCACTATGAACATTTTTGGGCTCGTTGCGAATATTAGGCACATTCTTTCTGTGTAGGTTTATTAATGTATAGTAATCATACGAACAATTATATCAAGCGTAGTTTCGGTTTATTTAAAGATATTATCTTTGAAAGGACCCAGGTATTCAATTTGGTTCAAGTATTTCGTTTTGTTGTAGAAAACATGGAAAGATTTTATGAGCATCACTTATTTGGGTTTGCATATTAAAACTATAGTCATATGAAGGTTACAAGAAGATTCTTGTGCCCTGGCTAAAAAAAGGTTAATAAAAACTTTATTCAAAAATCTAACTATAAAAATGAATATTTGGTTCAAAGCACAAGTAAAAAGGATCTTGTATATACTGTGAATAATACAATCGAAACTTGTAGTTGTTCTGTCAGAATGTCAGATACTCTATACAAGTACCAAGGTGCTGTTGCGACAAAATACCTTATCAGAATAATTAATTTTTTACCTTTATTAGCTATTAAAGAACGCATGATTTATTCATACGTTGCAAGTGGTAAGCTATTTTTTATACATATAGGCAATAAAATTTATGTGCATTAAAAATATATTCTGTTATCAATATTGTTATAATTATGAATATATTATTAAACTTTATTAATATTAAAGTTTGAATATGGAGAATGATTCTTTCTATACATCATTGCATACAAAACCTGTTATAGCCGAAAATACTGAAATACAAGTGCAGAGTAACGAAGAACAAAACAATAAAGAACAAGAGTCTCTATTATCATTACAGCATGAATTGCATGATATTACTAATTAAACAAGTATTGATACCAGTATCGATATTATGATGAACTAGTTAGTTATCCTTTTTTTTTTAATTAATTAATTAAATTAAATAATACTTTTTTTTTTTTTAAGAGAATCTAAGAATCAAGATGATTTTTCCTTTGACTTTTTTTTGAAAAAGGTCAAAGAAGACTATGAAAGTAATAATCTACAACTGTGTTTAGCATTGGATAAGTTTGCAAAGCGATATAAAGCAGCCAAATCACTATCTATTTCAAGATTGAATTCTTTTCTCTATAACCTTAATCGTAATTCAGATCTTTTAGCACGTATCAAGAGTGGTAGAAAAATTCAAGTGCAAGT